GCAGGAAAAATCAAAGAATTGTTAACAAAAAATAAAATCACGACTATTAACTGGCCAGCGAATTCACCAGACCTAAATCCAATTGAGGATATTTGGAAGGTGTTAAAGGATAATGTCCAAAATTGTGAAGCTTTTCTGCGGTCTGTAGATGAACTTAAAATCGAGTTAAAGAAGGAATGGGAAAAACTTGATCCTTCTGTTTTTGAAGATGTTATTTCCTCAGTGCCAAGAAGAATTGAAGCAGTATTTAAATAAAAGTTTTTATTTGGTGTATAAATTGTTGAAAATAAAATAAATCGGAAGAGCGTTAAAATTTTTATGTTTAATTTTTTGAGTCGGGCGTTACTTTTTGGGGTACTGTACATACGTATATTACTATCATCGTGTTTAACACCTATTGCTGAAAATGCACAGATATCGATAACTACGTTTGATTCATCTTTACTTTTCGAAACCCATTCCATCAATTTTTATTTAATTGCTCTCCATTTTCGAACCACCAAAGAGTAATGAACCTGAGGATACGAATAATATTAAGTATAATTTCTTCTGCACAATCTTCTTGTTCTTTATGTTGAAATTGTTCAATGGCCGAGTAGCTGATATTTTTGCATCAGCGTCAAATCGATAGTCTTTTTTCTCACGTAAATTGCTTAGCGTTAGCGGGTTTTTGATTCCAGTTATTCTAAGCTTTATTATTGAAATAATGATGCAAGTACATATTTATTATATTCGTTAGTGATAGTTTAATTATTTACTTTACTCCAAAAATAAAACGGAAAATTGCTTGAAACTTTATCGAGTTATATTAGACTTTATTACGAGCTCAAGTATTCTAAGCTCCCTATTTTACATCTGAGAACTTCTCTTTATACTGTACAAACAGTGGCAATCGAAATGAAACATAACAATGCGAGTTTTTTCTACATAAAAATTTTCAATAAATTTTATATTATCGTTATGCTAATTGGCACATGGTTTAGGTTACAGTGACAATTAAGTGTCACCGGTTTTGGCTACTGGTACGTACGTACGAACATTGTACAATTCAGCGAAATTTGTGTAGTCTATACGGAGTTTATTCACCTCAACTCCTACTACTATATATACATGTACTAGGAAATTATTTTTTTATCTTCGTATAACTTTTAAAATGACAACTTCTTGCAGTAATATTCGTGTGGTAGTCGGCATCGGTAACGAAAAAATGTTATTTACGTGGTATAGATATTGAATTAAAGCGCATTTACTAATTATTTGTGGTTTTAATATCAATATTATATGTATATAGATTTTGGCACAACATATTCAGGTTTGTATAATAAAATATTTTTGCATTATCAAGAGGAGAAAAATATAATAAATAAAATAATTTAGGGTTCGCATATGCTAACGTGGCGAACCCCGAAAAAATTGAAACAAATGAAACATGGTATGCAATTTTTCTAAAGTAATTTAAGAACGGGCAAAATTTATTGATAATATATTTGAAACATAGGCTTGAAAGGAAGGGTGCATTCAAAACCAACACAGTGATTCGATACGATGAAAACTTTGAATTGATTCAATGGGGTCTACCAGCATTAGCTGAGAAAATCAACAAAAAGAGCAAAAACTCGAAATCCGATAATTCCCATAAAATTGCTGAATTATTCAAATTACATATTGGGGAAATACCTTATGAACATAAACCGCCATTACCCTCAGGCTTGAATCCTAGAAAAGCAATAACCGATTATTTGCGAGAAATGGGAAAGGTATTTTTTCTATTATGCATATCTGAATTCTTGAAATGGGAATCTAAAAAATTTCATATTGAATCTATGTAAAAAAATTAAAGATCATGAAGAGCACAATATCTGCTCGGTGGCCGGGGTTGATTTATTATCAACACGTTCGTGTCATCCTCACTGTACCTGTTGAATATGACGAAGGAGTTCGTGCTATCATGCGGCAATGTGCCTTCGATGCTGAACTTATACTTACACTTGAATCAGAAAATTTGGAATTTACGACAGAGCGTAGGTCATATAATAAAAAATAAGCAAAAAAATATATAGAAACCTAATATTTTTTTGAATTTATTAGCTGAAGCTGCTGCGCTCTACTGTCTCGAAAACTTAAATGAACATCCGTTGAAAGTCGGAGGTAATACATACTGTATAATGTTGATGATGTTCTAACATAACTCATACTGCCTTTTCTTTTTGCTAGATTCATTTTTAGTGATAGATTGTGGCGGCGGCACGGTAGATTTGACAGTTCGTACTATTCTCCCCAATTCGAAATTAAGCGAACTCACAGAAAGTACCGGAGATTTTTGCGGCTCTACATATGTCGACAAAGCATTCAAACATTTTATTGGCACTAAAATCGGAAGATCAGCTCTTAAATTGATGGAGGAAAAACATTATCCTCAGTTCCAATATTTGATTCAATATTTCTGCACGGATGTAAAGCTTCCATTCGATGGCGATGAAAGAAACTGGCGGAATAAAGAAATTGATCTGGAAGAAATTTGTCCCATTCTCTTGCAATATGTTAAAGGGGAAGAAAGAGAAGAGTTAGAAGAATGTGAATGGGTTATCGAATTAGACTTCCAGACGGTTAAATATTTCTTTGACCAAGCCATTGAAAACATTTTAAAGCTAATTCGTCAACAACTGACCAAGTCGGAAAAGAATATTTCCGCAATCTTTTTGGTTGGAGGGTTTTCTGAATCCAAGTATCTAATGCATTGTGTTCGACAGGAATTTAATCGCCAAGTCTCGTATATTTCAGTCCCGTCTTACCCAGTTACCAGTATTGTCAAAGGAGCCGTTACATATGGTAATATTTACTTGTAATTTAATAATTAATTTTTATATATGACCAACTCATTACATTTTTCTATTTAGGTCTGAGAATGGATGCAATTAAAACACGTGTACTCAGAAAAACTTACGGGATCGAGCTTTACCGCAATTGGACTCCCAATGATCCAATCGAAAGAAAGGAAGTTATAGATGATCAAGAGAAAATGTTATTTTTTAAAAGATTAGCTAAAAAAGGGACTGAGGTTGATGTAGATCAAGAATTCAAAAATACATCTTGGCCAACCTTTCCAAATCAGAAAATTTCATCTTTTAAATTATACACTACTAGTGAGAACGATGGAAAACATTGCGACGATCCAGGGATGAAGTTATTTGGAAGACTCGGTTTGGTAAGTTTTGGAAATTCTTTTTATATACTTAGAATTAAAATAACTTGTTATTTTATTATAAAGGAATTGCCTGACGTTAACCTTGGTATCAATCGTCCGGTCGAGTTCACTTTAACTTTTGGTAAAATGGAAACGCGTGTTTTTGCACGAGACCTCATATCGGAAACAACTGCTAAGGCAACCTTTAAGCTAGAATTATAAATCTAAATACATGTACATGTAGAATTACTGTATATCGTCATATAAATCGATTGTGTAACTAACACAACATATAAAACTAGTTTTTTCACTTGCTCCCAGAAAAATAAATTATAAAGCATGAGTTCCTTCAAAAAAAAATAATCTAAATCATCATGCGGATGAGCAGTTCGACTATGAAAATAATAAGAATGAGCATTCGTAATCAGACGTTTCGACCGTGAAAATAATAAGAACGAGCAGTTCGTAGCCAGACGTTGCGACCGAGAAAATATTCGACCGCGATAAAAATGTGAATGAGCCATCAGACCGTAAAAGTAATGGTGAAATAAGTGAGAATTTCGCATATATTGTATTCATTAAAATTAAAATTTAGCTAATTAATATGTCATTTAGGAAATGCGTCGGCCGGCCTTTGTAATCTGCAAACGCATCCAATTACTATTCAATATGTCGAAGTTCTCTGCTGAAGTCCAGCAGATATTGAATCAGAAAAAGTATTTTGATCAAAAAGAATTATCGGATCTTCTTGCAGAAAAAGATCAAAAACTTTAAGAATCAGTTGACGCTTATAATGCGCTTCAAAACGATAATCAAGTGCTTCAAAACAATAACACTGGTCTAGGAAATTTATATCAAACAGAAGCAAACGAATGGAAAAACAAAGAGTTAAGATATAAAAAAAACGAATGGAGCAACGAGAGGTTGAGAATTCAAAAGCATATGATGAGCTCCTAAGTAAAAACAAGGAATTGCAACTGCAAAGTATAATAAAGAGTATAAAAAATCGAGTTAAATATTGTTACAAACTAATTATTGAGCGTGGGAAAGCGAGCATTTGAAGAACCAAGAACAAATCGAAAATCTTCGAAATGAAACAGTTCTTTAAGAGCGGAATCAGCTCAATTTCAATCGGCTCTTGGGAATGCTAGAAATGTTCGCTGGGATGATGAAGATGTCAATAATTCCGTCAATCTCAATAGTGATATCAAAACACTTCAAACTTCTTTACGCGAATTTACCTAACTCAAAGGAGGTGCATACAGCCTAAAGAGTATGGCACAAAGTAGCTTCTCAATGTCAAAGGAACTATCGAACCTAAACCATCAACAAGTGCCATATTACAATGGTTGACTATTGAAACTATCATTTAACGAATATAATATGTGTTTGTCATTAGAAAAAGTTAACGCAGAAGAGTCAGATAATAAAAATTTACAAAAAAAGATTTTTGAAACTCGTGTTGGAAAGTAGAATAAATGGAACAACCCAACTAAGCAATTTACGCGATATTGACCACCGCATTTGCGGGTCACGTGATATTTTTAACGTTAACGGCAAAAATTTCCAGATCCCGATGCCGACCATCCGATATACCCCTTAAAATTATGCACCAATCAAAAATGCTTGTTTTGAAAAATAGATTGTATCTTAAAACTTTGTCTATGAAACTATCTTTTGTGCTTTAATAAAAAATGTTCCTTGCAAATTTTACTATATTTTACATTCTCATTTTTTATACGATAACCCTAACTCTAAACCTAACCCTAATCGAAATTCTATTTAATATTATACATTATAATTTTAAGGGGATATCGGATGGTCGGCATCGGGATCGGAGATCACGGGATCTGGAAATTTTTTGCCGCCACTTTTCTACTAATGATAATGTACAGTCGCCGCAAAAGGTAACGCCCGATTTTTATAAAAATAAAACTTCAAATATATATATGATTTATTTTATTTTTTTATTCTATACATACAT